TATTTAATTTATTTAATTTATTATTAAATTTATATGCCGCCCATCTTCCCCAGAGGGTTATCCTTTTCATAGCTTGTATTGGTTGTGTTGTAGTAGATTGAGTGGTCAGGCACTTTTTGATAAAGTTGCGTGGGTATCCATTTTGATACACAACTTTATCAAAGAATAAAAGAATAAATCAAAGAATAAAAAGAAGGGATCAAAATGTATGTGTGTGTGTGTATCTCTCTCTCCCTCTCTATCACAGAAAAATTTAAAAAGGAAATACAAAGCCTCACCTTGGATATTTACTTTTCTAAGATTCAGGAATAATAACTTTTTTCTATGCATAGCTCCACATTTTTGTGGATAATTCATGTTCCACAACCATCTCTAATTACAAGGGAATCACATCAGTGGCATTTGTGTTTGTAATGTAAACATTTGTATTAAAGTTAAGTTCTACCATTACAACCCCCCCTGCTGTTAAAGGAATTTACAGATGATATAATAACAGCAGTAACAAACTTTTGTTTACAATCTCATTACACGGGCCAGGATGTTAGTCATGAAAACAGTTTAACCACATACTGTACTATTTTAGTTCTGACTACTGAGAAACTTGATCACATACCCATATGCAAAGGTTTGCTCTGTCCAACAGTCACAACAACAATCACAATAAATGCAAAGTTTACTATTTCTTTTTTGAAACAGGATTATAAGCAAGAAACACCACTATTGCTATTTATTCACACCACCTCTTCTAATTCAGCTGCTGCTTTTATACATTTAAAACAGAAAGTTCATTTCTTTTTCCCAAACAACCTGGAAAAAATTACATACCAAAAACGCATATACATGTAGGTTAGTGTGAGGTAACTACCAAGGTTTTTTCATGCTACCGTACCAGATCAAGAACGTGGAGTGATACACAACAATATTAGCTTCCTAAAACTTCTATTTGGTTTATTGTCCTAAGTCATGGTAGAAGTTCATCCACCTTCATTTCAGAATTTTACACATATGAAAGATTCTTTCTTCTATCCTCAAGTCCTTTTATGCAAAAAACCAGAAGAACATTATTACTTCCTTTCATAATATCAAGATTCAAGATCATAATTTGGATATTTTATCATAATTTGTTTTATTATTCTTTGTTTCAATCTTTGATTTAACAACATTGCATTTCATTACATGGAAATATTAGTTTTAGGTAAGCAATTTTTCAACATTCACTAGTGATAAGTGACATTTAATTTAAAAAGAAATTACTTTCTGGCAATATGTTACCCCAATCCCCTCAGGGTAATTCAGTATGCATAATCAAATGCAACTCATACATCTCCTATTGCCCTCTACAGTATCTTGTTTTCACCCACACAGCTATGCACCTCCTTCATTAGACTGATAAACAGAAAACTATTTTTTAATTTATGTAACTGAGAAATAGCTTATTTCTAAAAGCCTTCAAAAGGAAGAACATCTAAAACCATGGCTTATTTAACTCCCAGTACAGCAGTACCATCTTCTCCTTCTTCAGCTTCAGATGAAGAAGGTGAATGCATACTTTCTTATCTTAAACAATTTTACAGAAAGTTAAGCTTAGGTATCAAGGGGCATAATGGAACAACATTAAAAGTTTTGGCATTGCATAAAGTATGGAGAAAAAAACTTCTACTACTTATTTGAAAACTCCTTACATGAGATATTTGATGGGCCAATACATAATTTATTCATTTTTTTCAAACCACCCAATAGCTGAAGCTCTTGGCAGGTCATGCAGAAAAGCAGTCCCTATGATCAAGCACTGCTCAAGAAGATCCATTAAGATTAATTAATTTTTACTGGTCAAATTGGCCTTAATCAGAGTTTTTTGCTCTCTGTGAAATGATACTAGTATCGAACACTATTTCTATTCAAAGTGGAAAATACGGTTTTTCAGATACCTGTTGTGAAAGAAGGCTGATGTGACTGGGTGGTGAGTACTGTCTAGCTGCCTGCTTCTCTGCCAGTCTCTGAAGTTCTGCTGCAATATCATGACTGTAACGTTTGTTGTCTTCTCCATCCTTATTCGTTCTGGCAGATGCACCCCGCTGTCTACTTGGGCTGTGACTTCTTGATCCTGCTAAAGTGGGTGAAAAGTTTTATTTTGCCATGATTTTTCCTAGCTATAAGAAATGTGCCTTTTGTGCAAAAATTGGCAAGAGACAGAAATATTCATGACAAAATAAAAACCAGGTGTTTTATATGAAATATATTAATACATGATTCTGAAGGTTGGATTACAATATGCATTTATATATAGCTAAATTACCCAGTAGTTTTTGCTTTCTATCAAAAGTTTTATAAAGAACACAAGGATTTCCTTACAAAGTAATGATAGAGAACCACAATAGGGAATTTAATTTATTGAAAAAATGAAGATTCAGAAAGTCAGCATGAGTTACGGAAAAGAACAAGGCATGAAAGAGATGTTTTATTCCAAAGAAACTTCTAGTTAGATATTTATTAGTGCTATATCAAGGATGTAGGAGGAGTGCTTCAAGGAGCCTCTCCAAACCTACTGCTCAGAGTATCAAGGCCCCATGTTGTTGTTCTAAAGCACAGCCAAAGCCCCAGCAGAATCAGTACACGTGCCTCTTTGCAATCCCAGCAGAAGTGCATTTGGTGGGGGCATATCCATGCTCTGTCACTACGGAGGTCCTTGAAGTGGCCACAATGAGCCTTTGGGAGGACATGGAACCATGACACTTGGAGCACTGGGTTCAGAAGAGTATGAAACAACCCTCTGTGTGGTTGGCACTGTCCTAATAAACTAGCATAATACAAAAGAAAAATGAAACAAAATGCATTACTTTGAAAGTTACTCTTATGTGAATATGACAGGTTGTTTTCAAAGTCTTAAAAACTTTGGGAGGATAATCTGGAATTTGGAACTGATGAATTGCACTGGATTTTTTGATGAGTGAAAATTACTTCTAAATCTATTTTAGAAACCCATTAGGATTTGACCAAAAAGATAATCCATGTACAGTTTACCTTCTAAAATTACACCTTGTTTATTGTAACCTTTCTAGATTATGTTGACAAATTGTAAAAATATTTGTGTATACTACCATATTTAGTGGCAATGCCCAATTAGCCCTCTTGGCTGAAAGTTTTTGAAAAAAAATGGAAAATCATCAGTATTTCATAATGAGTGGTGATTAATTTATTGACCATATTTCCTAGCATGTATATATTGATCCCAGCATAAAAATTTATTCATTTTATTACCTGTTAAGTTTGTTACTACAATAGAAAACTATAATACAATACATGACAAAACAAAACTTTGAAATACTCTACAGTGAAGAATAAATTTATTCACATCTGGTTATAATTTATTGGTTATATTAACGATGTTTTTCCTACTAGATTACTTTTCTTTGAACTCATGTCATTCTGAACAGAAATATTAGATGTTTATACTCTGTTGGCAAAATAAAAAATTTAAATGTTTCTATTTTTCTTTTAAATCATGTAAAATCCCATAAACATGGAAATTCCCAGGCTTTTTTTTCTTTTTCTTTTTTCGTAGTGTTGGTCTGTGTCATTTTTTTTCTTTTTCAATGCTGTATATTTTTGTTTAGTTTATGTCATTTGGTTTTGCCAAAATCATATATTTTTAAAAAGCATCTGAAATTTAAAGATAAATTTAAAATAGCATGGAACCAAGAGAGTATTTTCAATAATTAAAAAAATGAAAAGAACTAGCTGAACCACTTGTGAAAAATAATCCAAAAAGTTGGTATGCTGCACAAGAAAAAAAAAATACTGTAAAGACAGACAAATCTGATGCCAAATGTTGAAAAACAGATGGTCTCGTAAGTGCATACTGCAATGCTATAGCAAATATTGCTACTTTCTGTGAAATCAGTCACTGCCACATGAATCAATCGATTGGTCAAACAAGACTCCTATCTCAGCAGTGCAAACCTTCTAGAGCTAACTCTTGTTTAGGCCAATCTGACATTCACTTCTACATTTGACATTATTGGGCTACTTGTCAGTCTTCCCTCATCCTTTCCTAACAGAGAAAAGGGTTAAGGAGGGTGATGAACACCTGCCCCTCCAAATGTTGTTGGGTTTCAATTCCTAGCAGCCCCAGTCAATAAGAGTAATAGTTGATGATGATGGGAACTGGAATCCAACAATATCTAAAGGGCCACTGGTTCTCTACTCCATGGCAACAGAAGTTAATATTTCTTGGGAAAAAAATAATAGTATCCAACAATTAAAAAATAATATTTTAAAGAACCGCTCCAGTATTATTTTCAGGTAAGAGATCTGCACACCAACAATATGGAAATCCGGCAAAACTTATCTGATGAAGGAAAACTAGTTCAAAGAGGAAAAAGTATAATTTGATGGCAGAGCACATAGTTTGCTTGAAAAAGAGACATGTTCTATCCCTGGCATCTCCAGGTAGAGATGCTAAACTTGGAAACTTGGGGAGCTTCTGCTAGCAAGCTTGTAGACAGCATTAATACTTTGACTCAGTATAAGATATCCTTCTATGTTTCTTTCAGATTCACAAGTGCTAGGATCTACTGAGAACTGAAAACCACTGAAGGCACCATTATAAAGAAGAAGTTCAAAAGTTCCTGTCACTTGTACTGCCAATGAAGAAAGTACTGGTGCACATGATATTCTATACCTATTGTCCAATCATTGTAATAGAATTCATAAACAATTATTATTCCAAGGAAAACAGTAATAATCTGTTTGGTTGTCAGCCCAGTCTACTATTTGTTGCCTGATACCTTGCCCTATATAGTTTTACACAGGTGAACTTAAACAATCACTACTTAGTCTATTGGGGACTATTGCCAAGTTGTGTCATGAACAAACAGCAGTAAGGTTAGAGAGGCATGACTACCTATTTTATATTTCTGCAAGTTGCCTAATAATCATCAGCATACTCTTCACAAATGCCTTAAAACTCTAGGAGGTACCTGGAGGACAATTTTGAATTAGATTGGATATATTTCTTTTTCAAATAAGTTTCTCATAAGGAAAATAAGAATTTATCCAACTCAAAACTTGCACAATTAATTCAAGTTATCTTGAGTATGGCAAGACACTAAAAATATTACAACAGTGTGCCAGCTGAGCATCAGTCTACCTGCTTTTGCTGAGGAAGGTCGGGTCAGTCTCTGGCTGTAGATTTGCATGGCAGTCTGAAAGGAAGAGAAGGGGCTGACAGTGTAACTGCCAGACCGACAACGGTGTAAGCTTGCACTGTTTGAGGATGGGCGGGACATATTTTTTGCTGTATTAGGCAAGTTGTCAGGTGCTGTATTTTGAGAAGAAGGGGAAAAAGTCACTCTAGAACCTGACGAAAGGGAAGGGGTCGAGTGATAATCAGGCACCTGTACATTATCACAGGCAGCAGGTTGCGAGGACAATGGGATACTGATGCTTTGTGGGAGAATGGTACCATGAGTACAGGAAGAAGGGTTAGGAATGCTGCATTGCGGTGTATTCTCTCCATCTTCCGTTGAAGAAGGAACCCCTATTAAAGGGAGAAGAAGAAAATGAAGCCGATCAGGACAATTCATATTTCTCAACCAGACACACATATAAAACTGCCATAATTGCACTGAAATTCCTTTTACAAGCTTCTTTAGATTTTTTTTTCTAGAGCATCTGATTTTCAACTATTTCACAAAGAACTCTAATAGTCATTAAAAATATATCCCAATGGATTCTGCCTAATTTGTATTTATATTGTTAATTCTATTATTTTGCTACAACGTTCTATATGTAGATGTTCAGTTTTCTATTTAATAATATTTAAGATACTTAGGTACAAGAGTACTTATTCCCAATTATTTATTTTATTTTTGCATGTAGTATTTACAAACAGTACTGCATCAATTACAACATTCAATTATTTTTTCCTTTACAGTAAATTAAAATAGTGTCCATAAAGTCACTCTCATACATGAACCAGTCTATAATCGATTTTAACCACTGCACAACATTTCTAATTTTATATCAACAATATAGTATACTGCTTAGCACACTGAGAATTCCCAAGACAGTTTCTTCTGTTCAATGTTCATGAAAATGCATTATGGAAAGGATTAAAGATATTAGAGCCTATTTCACTGATTCATTCATTTGTTATATAGTCAGTATCAATACAATAAAATATAGCAAAGAATCATATTGTTAACTCTAAATTAGAAGTGTGAAAAAAAATGATAATTGTTAGTATCTTGACTGACAGGCTCACTGCTTGAGTCTAAATATATCTGAATACTCTACCTGTCAATCAAATTTATAAGGCTGCCCATCTATCCAGCAAAACTGGGTGGCAAACATAACATATAAAACATCAACAATAGGAAAACACATACAATAACACACACACACACACACAAATACCTGGGTCAAGGCCCCCCCACAAAAATATCAGGACCCCTATGTCATGGGAAGAGCCAGGTCTTCACTCCTCTTCTTTAGAGAAAGGTTGTTCCATAGGGCATACACCATGACACAGAAGGCCAACAAAAAACCATTAAAATTCTGTCCGAGTTTAACTATGCAAATTTATTCTTTTTTCAATTTTCCCACTCACTGGGTAAACTGGTTCTTTTGGGTTGATCAAGTCTCAGCTGCTCTACCACATTTTCCTTCTCCACTGGAAGGGACTGCTGTTTTTCATTTTTCCCCATCTTTTCTGAGTTATCTGAAAAGAGTTTTCAAGATTAAAAGAAAAATAAGCAATGTACAATAATGATTTTCAGTATGATTTTTTCTAATAGAGCAAATAATTTGAGATTAATTGCATTTACAAACAAAAACTGAAATTCTTATGTGTCCAAAGTATTCTGATATTTCATATATCCACAAGAAAGACTAAATTAAGAAACACATTGATTGACTGATTGATTGATTGATTGATTGATTGGATTTGGAGACTGCTGATTCCCAAAAGACCCCAGGTGGCTTACAACACACACAGAGAAAAACCAAACAATAAAATACATGTCCATCTGGAAAACAACTAAATGTACTCGAAACCAACAAAAAAGATAAATAAAAGCTCAACATCCAACCTAACCGCAGGCTTGGGAGCAGAGTTACATTTTCAACAACTTCCAGAACAGAACAGCTGTAGAGTGGGAGCCATACAAATTTCCAGGGAATGCTGTTCTAGAGGGCAGGCACCACAACAGAGAAGGCATGCTGTCTAGGTCCCGATAGATGACATTGATTGAAGAGACCTGGAAAATGCTCACTCTGCTCAATCTCACTAAATGGACAGAGATAGGCAGTCCCTCAGATAACCAGGCCCTATGCCATACAAGGCTTTACAGTGATAACTAGCACCTTGAATTGCACTCAGAATCCAATTAGCAACCAGTGCAGGTCATAAAGCAGGGATGACATACAAGCCTATCACTAACTGTGTCACTACATTCTGCAACAGCTGCAGCTTTAAGGGCAGCTCCATGTAGAGTGCATTGCAGTAATCCAGCTGAGAGGTGATTAGGGCATGAGTAACTGTCTGAAGGGTCTTCCACACTAAGAAAGAGTGCAACAGGCACACTAGATTGAGCAGGAGCTGTGATTCCAGGAAGACTTCCAGAGTGCACACCAGTCTTAAATGGGGAAGTATGACCCCATCCAAGACCAAAGATGAAATGTTCACAGATCTAAGGGGTCCAAATAACAACAATTACTCAGTCTTGCCAGGATCTGTCCTCTAGACAGCCTACCATCCTCTAGATAGCCTCTAGATACTGGATCAGGTCATTGACATTGCCTAGATGCCCTGGGGTTAATATATACAATTGAGTATCATCAGTGTACTGATGATACTGGACTCCAAACTGATGGATGACATCATCCATCAGTTTCCTATAGATGATAAGCAGGAAGAGTGAGAGTGTCAAACCCTGAGGCATCCCACAAGTGAGGGGCTGGGGATGTGACCTCTCTCCTCTTGTCAACACTGATGGGAACTGACCAAGGGGGAAGAAGGAGAACCATTATAAAACAGTGCTTCCCATCCCAAGTCCTGCAGTCTGTCCAGAAGGATACTGTGGTTGAGTGTATCAAAAGTCACTGGGAAATCAAGGAGCACAAAGATGGATTCACCACCCTCATCCCAGCACTGCCAAATGCCATCAGCAAGTGCCACAAATTCTGTCTCTATACTGTACCCTGGCCTGAAACCCGACTGAAATGAATCCAGATAATCTGCTTCCTCCAAGATGTTCTGCAACTACTGTCTGGCCACGGTCTCAACTATCTTCCCTGAAAAGGAAAGGTTGGAGACTGTAAAATAGCTATCCAGCACTACTGGATCCAGCAAGGGCTTCTTGAGGAGGGGGCACACCACAGATTGAATAAAGAGAGGGGGACAACTCCCCCCTTCTGTGATACCATTGCATGGACCAACTGAAGGTCACCTCCCAGGCAGCTTTAATAACCCAGGAAGGCCCAGGATCTAATACAGGTGGCCAAACTCACAGATTGGAAGACCTTGTCCACTTCCTCAGGAGTCACAGGCTTAAACTCAGTCCAGATAACTCCACAAGACTGTGCTTCAGGCACCTAAATAGGACCTGTCCAGTCTGAACCCAACTCTGGGTAAATCCAAGTGACTTTATCCATCAAATAGCAAGAACATTCCTCATCTGCTTCTTTACAATTGTACTGAAGGTATTAGAAATGGATACTCACTGCCTTTGTTCTTGTTTTCCAATTGGCTATTACTATGCTTTGTAGCTCCAGGATTTGTTCCCAGGAAGACACTTGCTGATTTATTCTTGTGTGTGTAAAAAGTCAATACCTCCTCAAGATCACTTTCACTAAAATGAGAAGAGAGAAGAGAGGTATAAAAGAGCAAGTGGCCTAAATTTACAGTGTGGTGATACAACAGGTACTGTAAGAGATTTGAAAGGAAACATTGGGGGAAAAAGAAAGACAAACTGGAAAGAATTAAAAGAAAAAATATGTTTTTGTAAAGCTTGGTGAAACTCCATGCTGCATTTAAGGAAAGTAATATTCCCAGCCACCCAAAAGCTGGCAATAAAAATAATGTTGGCTATTTTTTTTTATAAAATGTATAGAGCCAGTTTGGTGTAGTGGTTAAGGCACCAGGCTAGAAACTGGGAGACCTTGAGTTCTACTCCCGCTTTAAGTACAAAGTCAGCAAGGGGGCAGTCAGTCTGTCAGCCCTAGGAAGAAGGCAATGACAAACCACTTCTGAAAAACCTGGCCAAGAAAACTGCAGGGACTAATCCAAGCAGTCACAAGGAGTCAACACTGACTTGAAGGCACCCCCCCCCCCATAGAACTATTGCATGTTTCCAATGATAAAATTATTGTTAAAAATTCCATAGCCATGGTTCCTATTACCATAATTTAAACACCACCTCTCCAGAGCTATATTTTAGCATCTTTATTACAAAATGGATTTTTCCCTTCTTTAGGGCTATGCTACTGTGAAAATATAGGAAGAGAGAAGGAGAATCCCAGAAGAATCTTCACATCCACAGTGGAGTATATCCAATTCTATTTCCCTCTGAAAAATTATAATACTTTATTACTAGCTAAAACAACTGTATTAAGCAGCAGCAGAGCTCAGGACAAGTTAGTGCCATATTTATCAGCGTATAACACACACTTTTTCCCCTAAAATTTGGGGCTGAAATCCTAGCTGCATGTTATATGCCAATACTCAGGCGGCCGGGCTGGGAGAGCGAAGCCTTCATTTGAGCCAAGGCTGTAACGAGGCTGCAACCGCGCACTTCCCACCTCCTCCTCCAATTGATGACATTTAAACCATGCCTCCTCTGTTTGCGGTCTTTAGTAACATCACCCACACGGTCCGGCACTCAGCTGGTGCTTTGCTCTGACACACTGAGTGCCGGACCACGTGGGTGATATGAAACACTACTTGTTTCAGTTACTTAAAACTACTGGTATCCCTAATGGAATCAAGACAAAAGCATTTAGCACAGGGGTCCCCAACCCCCGGGCCGCGGACCAGTACCAGTCTGTGGTCTGTTAGGAACTGGGCCACAGAGCAGGAGGTAAGCGGCAGTGAGCGAGTGAAAACTGCCGCTCCCCATCGTTCACGCTTCTGCCTGAGCTCCGCAGAGCAGGAGGTGAGCAGCGGGCAAGTGAGCAAAAACCACCACTCCCCATCACTTGTGCTGCCACCTGAGCGCCGCAGAGCAGGAGGTGAGTGGCAGGTGAGTGAGCGAAAACTGCTGCTCCCCATCGCTCGTGCTGCCATCTGAGCTCTCTTCGTTCAAAGAGGTCCTTTTTCTTTCATATTACATATTTACCTTATAAGTGGTATAAATATTAATAAACAAAAACCTCAGAGCTCCCTTTATTTTGCTTCCAAGTCATTTATTTTAAATTTAAGTTTTTTTACTCAA